AGTGTATAAAAACGTTTTAACCGGGTTGGTGATGGATATGAAAGATCCATGTAGGGGGGAGTTGGAAAATCCTGATTCAAAAGCAATGGGGTATATAGGCTCCAAGATCCTGACCATGGGACTGGATCTTATGTCATGAACTGGTTATAGATACTGACTTTTTTTGATAATGAACAAACTATTAGTTCTTTATATCACAGTATTATGATTAAAGTTTATTAACATGTTCTCTCACAAAATTGGTTCATTCAGCCTGCATGTTTGTAGGCTATATGAGGAAACTTATAATGACTTCAAATGGCGTCGATTTTATTTACAAAAGTTAGACGACGTAAAGCTGTCATCCGTCATATATATATATTCACTATTGACTAAACACTGGGAGGTGATCAATGTCATGTGTGTCGAATACTATCGACCAAGTTGAAATGTGGCCACATGTGACATTGATCACTACCCAGTGATCAATCAATTGTGAATAAATCTCAGTCCTACAGGAGGTCAGTCTCGGCCCGGATAGCCCAGTAGTAACATCTCTGACTGTGAAGCTGAGTGACACGGGAGCACCAGTTCCATTCAAGATTACAGCTACATCTTGCTGATGAGTGCTAAATAGCACGAAACCCAAGTCCGAGGTTTCCGGTTGACTACCACCAACCACTGTCTTATCTCAGCATATAGTTCACTTATGTGGGTCTTATTTGAATTCCCACCTTCGATCAGTTTAATGTCAAGGAAGGCTTATTGAATAACATTTTTATATTAGACAATTTATGTTTTAATGTAACGTCATATAAAAGATAGTTCGTCAGTTAAAATGAATATTGAACAATTACAATTGTGAATAAAAAGAAAACAACGCTAGGCGGTCTACTTGAATATCTGGGATAACTGTTTCTGTCATGTAGATATTTCAATAAGTTATTTAATTTTATGCGTTTTTGAAAAATGTACAACCTTTCGTTGTACAACTTACAAAAAAAGCCGAATCATAGATATCGTCGTTGCTGGCAGGCAATATGCATCGAAATGAATGTACATTATTTAGATGTTTATTAACTGAACTGCTAACATCTAACTGACGATTACTCAAATATATCTCGTAAAGATTTCTATGTAGAAATAAGCTTATTCAAAGTAAGAAACTTAAACATAGAGTTATCCATTCTATTTAAAATGCCCATTTCAAAGATGTATAAAGATTTCATAGAAGTAATTGTTTATTTACTCAATGGTTTTCTCCTAATTCATTTAAACCTCACGGATCAAGAAAATTGTCATCATATAATAGTTACCTGATTGATAAGATCACCTCCCGGTTTTTCTTTTACTAAATGGTTACTTTTTACTTAATTACGCTTGTTACTCTCAATGGAACATAGACCGCCGACCAGCATTCTCCAACACACTCTGTCCTAGGCCTTCCTCTCCAGTTCTATCCAATTGTTGTCCATTCTTCTCATACCTGTCTCCTTTTCTCGACGTAATGTGTTTTTTGGTCTTCCGCTTCTCCTTTGGTCTTGAGGAATCCAAGTGAGGACATGCGTTGTGACGCAATTGAGTGCTTTCCTTAATGAGTGTCCTATCCACCTCCACCGCTTCTTCCTGATTTCTTCCTCTGCTGGAATTGAGTTTGTTCTCTCCCACAATGGTTTGTTGCTGATAGTGTTTAACCAATGGATTCGAAGTATTTTGCGTAGACGACTGTGAATAAACACTTGTATCTTCTGGATGATTTCTTTTGCTATTATTCAAGTTTCCGCTCCATACAATAGAACTGACTCGACATTTGTATTAAAAATTCTGACTTTGATGTTGGTTGACAGTTGTTTTAACTTCTAGATGTTTTTTTCAGTTGTAGATATACTGCTCTTGCTTTCATGATCCGCGCCTTTACATCTACATCAGATCCACCGTGTTCAGCAATGATGCTGCATCTTTCAAATCTTCTTCATCATGTGTAATTTGATTAGTGCACGTTGTGTTATATTGGAGAATCTTACTTTTCCCTTTAAAATATTAACTACATGTTATCATTTAAAACTATTTACTATCTAAAGCTGAACTGATTAGCACATTATGAAGAATCATACAGTTTGAATCTAATCTGATATTATTAAAATTAGTTTATGTTTATAATGAAATAATCAATTTGCAACAAAAAAGAAACAACTGCATTTTTTTCTCTCGTTCTCTCCCTCCCTCCCTCTCTCTCTCGTTAAAGTCTGACATTTTCTTTGGAATTTATGTATTGCAGTAACTAAGTGAGTAAGTAAGTAAGTAAGTAAGTAAGTAGGTAACTAAGTAAGTAGTACCAAATTGAATGTATATTAGATTGACGTTTATGGGTTTCGATTGTTAGAAAAAGAAAGAAACAAAGCAATTGTTGAGTTGTTTTTTTTTTTGGTTTTTAGAGAAAAAAAAGAAGAAACCATTTCTTTTCATACCACTTAATAATATGGTTTACTATTAAATACGTAAACTACTGATTTTCTTAATTGATTATGTATATATATATATACGCGTTAGAAATATAAACGTTTGAGGATAGTCCAGAAATGCCCTGTTACGGTCGAGGGTAGAGGGGAGGAGTTAGCTCTTGCCTTCGAAATGCTCTCACATGGCCACGAGCATATAACCGCTACCAGGGAAGTCCTACTCACTGCCTTCTTGCAGTGAGGGTGTTGTTTATGAAATTCAGAGGACGAAGTGCGAATGTCCGACACTTTAACCAGTTTGGTAGACACGTAGGATCCACCGAAGAGAGTTGGGAAACCGTGATTCGAAACCAATGATGCACATAGGCTCCAGGATCCTGAGGAAACACATGACTTACGAACCAAATAATGGTCACCGGCTACCATGGGACTACATCTCCTGACTTTGCTCCATTGCCTTGTGGATTAGACCTTTAGGTCAAAGTCTCCGGGCCTGACCTCACCCGCTTCGGCCTGCGCACCTGGATAGTATTGCAGCCCACACACATATGAATTGATTTGTGTGGTGCATATGTATTCGGTGCTCTTTTGTACCAAAATTTATGTGTTCAAGTAAATAAATGAACTCCCAAATCAAATAATGGTCACCGGTTACCATGGGACTGCATCTCCTGACGTTGCTCTACCGCCTTGTGGGTTAGATTTTTAGGTCGAATGCTCAGGGTAACTACAGGTCCCAAAAATGGGTAAAGAAGGATGGTTATCAACGCCATCCCGTAGAAAACAACCTTACTAAAACAAAAGACGCTAACCAGAACAAACAAATTATAAATTTTTAACTCTGTCCTCCGAATTGAAGAAAAAATTATAACTCCTCATGATGAAAATTGAAATTCTTCGGAAGTGACAAGACCGAGCCCCCTTCTAATAATCAGAGCAACAATTAATATAGGCATATGGTATGTGTAATTAATTCGAAGTTGACGGATATGTAATTATGAATGCGGCTAAACTATAAAGTTTAGATGTATTTGTAAATGTAGATTTTACTTCCTGTAACAGTTGTAGTTAGTTAATTCCTAGTCAGTAGTCTAGTTTTCTGAGTTCATTTTTCTTCCTTAGACAGCAAATTATTTTAAAATAACGATGAGAATCTTCAAATGGATGAAATTCAATTACAAATGGAATCTAACACATTTGATGTTATATCATTCAACGTTTTGGGTGTATATTGGTAAGCAGTTGAAACGTCATAGTTGGTACAGTTTTAAACAAAAAGTACTCATTTAGTGGAAGAAAGACATCGTCAACAAAGCCATTGTTCAAAGTAAGAGGGGTGTTATAATGCAAGATATTACACGATTTCAACTGACATTAATTCCTCCTGGGACCCCTATGGGACCGGTCCAAGGCCCAGATAATGGGGAAGGGTTGGGTTTAGGATTAGAGACCCCATCCCGTGGAAAACTAACCTGCTAAAAGAACGCTAACGAGAAAAAATAATTCAAACCATTTAAACCCTGCCCTGGGAATTAGATGGTCTTCATTTAGAAGAGCTATGATGCCTCATGATGAAAGCCGAGTTCCTTTGGAAGTCGCGAAGCTGATGCCCCTTCTGATAATCACAGAAAATATTAATTTATGTACATGGACTACTCGTACAAAGTGGGAAACCGGGAGAGTCATCCAACTGACATTCGACTGATTAAATGAATGACCAAGGATACATTGTATGAATGGCCCGAATCGATCTAGAATGTTACAGAAGTGTAACACTGAAGCCCATAATTATTCATTGTTAAACACTCTATTAGTGTCTCTTCACCAAACAGTTTATCCACGGTTAATGAGATGGAAATATAATGCATCTTTCAACAGGTCAAAAAAATGTCCAGTAGATTGGCTATAGATCAACAGCGCTATCGATTACCTATTACTCTAAAGGTGGTAATTCTCACATTTTCCCAATCACATTGTCGTTCATGATCTTTTGAGTCCATTAATATTATTAATAGCATATCAGTTGTGTATGCTTAGCTATGCGAAACGTCTGTGTCGTCCAATTTAGTTTTTATTGTTGTCATTGTTAAATACATTAGAGATAATATTGCATTCAACCTACTTGATTGAACCTGATGAAATGAAACAATATCTATGCATATCTACTTTTGTGTTTGTTAACCTCAATTTGTTTGGCTTGGTTTCTCTTGGTGTTGTGTTACTTGTATCCTCCCTCTGTTGTGTTAAGACTGCAATCGATCCGTCTCTTATTGGCATATGTGCATCCAGTGCGGATTGCCTGGATATTGTGTTAAATCACAAGTTTTATAAGGAAAGATGGATAGTGGTTAGTAGTTGAATCCAGGATGCGCGACACATCGTCTTATTTAGGACTCATCAGTTGGATATACTTGCATCTGACAGTTAATGTTCACTCCTGGACTCGAACCCAACGTTTTTAAAAATAAAATTTGACTCATTGAATATCGTTACTTGTCAACTTGTGATTGAACATGTTGTTAATCAATTTGTATTTACTTTTTTAGATCGTTTGTCTGAAGAATGGAAAAGTTATTTATGAATTACCGTAAACAAATCTATGATTTCTACGTTAGTAAAACTGTAGCTTCTACAGTTTATAAAACAGCATTTGTGAATGGAAGTTTCTTTGTTGTATTCTCAACCTTGACAAGTTAGTTGAAATTTTGTCTAGAGGATTAGATGGCAAGACTCTAATTTATGGACGAGCTAATCAGAGGCGTTCTAGGGATTTCAAGGTTACAGCGCCAACTTCAGTGCTTAGTGCTAACGTACGATCGGTTCACAGGGGATTTTATACAAAACGTGATAATTGAGCGGCTATAACAAAAAGAAACGGCGGGACTATAATTTGTTGATGAATCAATCAGGTATAGGATAATAGATCTCTGATTTTAACGCGAAAGTCTTTCATCCATTAGGCTAAATAAATTTCTGGCGCTATAGCTGATGTAAGTTCGTGATGAAAACCCCATATATAATTCCTAACTAAGGGAAATTACGACAATTATTTCGAACTGGATAATAAAAGCACCAGTTACATTGGCTGCAACGAGGTACTACAATATATACTGATGCTTGGAGAGCGTACACACTCCTACATAGGCTTGGTTATGTGCATCGTGTCGTTATCCACATGTAGAGCGTCGCCGATTAGATTTATGGTTTAATAAAGTTGATCATCGTTCATTCGTATATTGCCAATCAGTTTTAGTCTGTTTTCTTTCTGTCGTAACTTTCAAGAACAACATTACCTCATCATCTTCTAATTGTAATTCTTTGATTATTCCTGAGGTATTTGTCGGAAAGTCGATATAATGATTGATTAGTTCAGTTAAATGTTCCAATATCTGACGTGGTCGTTTTAACAAATTATAGGTTTCAGTTCCGGATAGCGATGTAATTGATCGCAGAAGAGTATCTGCTTTATCTTATTTTTGTTTGCTATGGAACGTATAAGGAATAACTCCGTTGGATATAATTCACCATTAATTTTATTCTACGATTTGAATATGATTCTGCTAATTCAGTTGTCTGTTCAATCGATATAATGTTTTAATAATGACTGATATATTTTCTTATCTAGAAGTAAGTCATCGAGATTATTCAAATAATCTCCTTTTCCGTTGTAGTGTTGTGAATATATTTTATCTACAACTATGACGATTTTATCGTTCTTCAATCTTTTCACTGCTGATTACTTATCCATGAACAGTTTAGAGTGATTCACACCTCTGCATGAGGTAAAAATTAATGATATTACTATCAGAAGGGGTTTTGTGGAGTTTGCAGTAATTTTAATAGTTAAGATCATGCACACAATGATGGAGGCGTCGCTCAATTCGGTGGATTAGTTAAAGTTAGACATTAACACACTGTTGGATACCGGCTGGCTCAGTGGTCTAGTGGTTAAGCGCTTGCGCGTGAAACCAATAGATCCTCGGTTCGAATCTCGCGAGACAGGATCATGGATGCGCTTTTTTGAAGAGTCCCACAATAGGACGAAATAGCCATTTTCTTATCTAGAAGTAAGTCGTCGAGATTATTCAAATAATCTTCTTTTCCGTTGTAGTGTTGTGAATATATTTTATCTACAACTATGACGATTTTATCGTTCTTCAATCTTTTCACTGCTGATTACTTATCCATGAACAGTTTAGAGTGATTCACACCTCTGCATGAGGCAAACATCAATGATATTACTATCAGAAGGGGTTTTGTGGAGTTTGCAGTAATTTCAATAGTTAAGATCATGCACACAATGATGGAGGCGTCGCTCAATTCGGTGGATTAGTTAAAGTTAGACATTAACACACTGTTGGATACCGGCTGGCTCAGTGGTCTAGTGGTTAAGCGCTTGCGCGTGAAACCAATAGATCCTCGGTTCGAATCTCGCGAGACAGGATCATGGATGCGCACTGTTGAAGAGTCCCACAATAGAACGAAATAGCCATTCAATGCTTCCAGATTCTCCATAGTTGTCTAGCTTCAGTTGACTCATGATCTAAACTATTGAAATTACTGATATTGTTCTGAACAAAAATAAAAGCTTTTCAATCTAAATCATTCAGCCTAGAGAGGACATTTACAACAACAACAACAACAACAAAACTTTCTGAAGTTGTAATTGTTTTAGTCATCTATAAACACCTTCAATTCAAAGAATATCATCCCAAGGTTATCATCTTCAATATACAGAATTTCTGCAGCTTTTTACATTAGAACAAATCATTGACATTCAATTATTTTAATTAATTAGACCAAATATTCAATAAGTTGAACGGACTTTGTTCATCCTTATTGTTATTATGATTGTTATTGTTAAAGTAGAATAAACAATATCACTTCCATATAAATAATACAATATATATATCTTGCATAAGATTTGATTTGATGAATATACCATAATAGTCAATGTTCAATAATGAGACATTGTTTTCCTTGTCTATAATGTTGCATGTTTTTTTTTGTTGTTGTTGAAAGGTTCATATGGTTAACTAACTCACGTAAAATCAAATCAATTATAGATCAAAGTAATAAACTATGAAATGTTCTATAACTAAAAAAGTTATTAAGATCATCAGGTTGATGAGGTCTAATGAGGACGAAACACTACTGGCCACTATTGACTTTTGCTTAGAATACTTATGACTTAAGACAATATCGGAGTAATACACACAGGATGTGTATGTGCTAAAAAGAGACTGATCAATTGCAGTCTTTGAGAATAATAGGAAGATACAAGTAAACAATATTAAGTGAATTTGAAATTCAGTCCATTGAACAAGCAAGTGATTATCAGGACTCAGTAGCTAAGTGGATAACGCGATGGTGTTTAAAGCGAACGGTACTGAGTTTGAGCCATAGAATGAACATCAACTATGGGCTATAGGTACATCCAGCTGACGAGTCCCAAATAGGACGAAACGCGCTTCCTGGACCCCACTGCTGGCCACTATCCATCTTTGCTTCAAAAGTCATATATATATATAACAGTGTTCAAGGCATCATTCGTATGGAATTCTGAGATTATGTACTTAAATGCATGAACAGATAAGATTTTAGACAGTGAACAGATGATTCTTTTTCATAGTTGAATTCATGAGTCGATCTAAGTTAAACCACCATAGAAATCCTGAAAGGATTGGGCAGTCGTTTCGTCCTATTATGAGATTTCTTAGCAGTACATATCCACGAATGAAGTTAAACATTAATACCGTTATATGCCGACTCAGTGATCTAGAGGATAAGCAAGACGGAAGGTCCGGAGCTCGAGTACCGCATACGGGATCGTGGATACGCACTGTTTAGGATTCTCATACCAGGACAAAACGACTATCCATTGCTTTCAGGTTTTCTATGGTGGTCTAGTTTACATTGACTCATGAATCCTAAGTAATGTATATTCTATTCAAACACATAATAGTCCCTTATAGAACTTAACTTCATGTAGAACCAATGAGCTGCTAATAAAAGTCAGTATGAAAACTTAATGGTAATATGTCATGCGTACAAAGTGTTAATTGTGATTTCCGTATTATTCTGTCTACTGAGATAAATTACAAAGTAATTTGTTACTTTTTTGCATGTATTTTATTCAATCAAACATTCATTTACCTTCATGGAATAATTGAAGTTAGACATTAACACCATGGAATGTCGGCTCAGTGATTTAGACGTTAGGCGTTCGCGCGCAGGACCGATAGGTTCTGGGTTGGAATCTCTCGAGGCAGGATCATAAATGTGCTTTGCTGAGGAGTCTCACAATAGGATGGAACAGCCGTCCAATGCATCCAGGATTCCCATGGTGATCTAGCTTCAATTGACTCATAATCTCAACTATTGAAATTCGTTTACATTGTTGATCAAAATATATTAATGACTATGTATAATAAATTACAAGGATTTCAGATATCACTTAAACGGTGGAGAAGATTTGTAGCTCAGGTGGATGATTTCGATGGAGTTTTGTTCTCTGAGCTGAATGGTTTGGTCGTGGAGCTTTCATCGTTCAGCTTTCATCAGCTCAGAGAACAAAACTTCACCAAAATCAATTAAACGGTGCTTCGATTAATTCTAATATGTTTGTAAGATTAAATAAATGGTTGTTTTTGTTGCACTTCTCTATTACAATACACATAGCAAGATGTCATTTAGCTGATCTATTATTATTACTATTATTATTATTATTATTATTATTATTATTATTATTATTGGCTTTATTCAATATTCTATTTTTGGTATAATACAGAATTCTTAACACAAAGTATTTCAACAAGTTTCCGTTTCTTACTTCTTGGTCGATCTTAACGATAAATATGGAGTGGTCACCAGTTAGATGTAAACAGTTCAGGAATCGACATCCCATTTATATATATTTCCAGCGACCACGATATCTCTGATTGTGCTCTTTTATAACTTGTACAGACTCATCTGAATAGGTTGTGAGACTATTAGGCATGGTGATGTATTAAAACAAATAACTTGTTGAAATATTTCTAGATGACAGGAAACAGGTAGCCCAGATATTCAAACAGTCCGCCTTGGATTAGTCAGTTATTGTTTTTATATTACTTACTTCTTACGCCTGTTACTCTCAATGGAGCATAGGCCGCTGACCAGCATTCTCCAACCCACTCTGTCTTGGGCCTTCTTCTCTACTTCCATTCAATTCTTGTTCATTTTTCTCATGCCTGTCTTCATTTCTCAATGTAATGTGTTCTTTGGTCTTCCTCTTTTCCTTTGACCCTGAGGATTCCATGTGAGGGCTTGCCTTGTGACGCAATCGGGTGCTTTCCTCAATAGGTGTCCCATCCACTTCCAGCGCTTCTTCCTGATTTCTTCCTCCTCTGGGATCTGATTTGTTCTCTCCCACAGTAGGTTGTTGCTAATAGTGTCTGGCCAACGGATTCGAAGTATTTTACGTAGACAACTGTTAATAAACACTTGTATCTTCTGGATGATGGCTTTCGATTGTTTTTATATTATCCATCCTTAAGTAAACAAAATAGTATACATAACTGATCAGAGTGTGTTAAAAGAAAGAAAGAAAGAAAGATGGTATCTCATACCCTAAGCAATAAATCATCAATCTGTAAACTTAGCCTAATGAGATCATATGATAAATAGAAAAGTAATACAACGCCAAAATTT